CTCCAACCTGAGAAATAGTTAGAAAACCTGAGATAGTGAGATTAGACAAGCAGATTTCATAAAACTGGTCAAATAATGGTATTTGGAATCTGATGAAAGAGAGAGACAAAGCTCTAAAAAAAAAGATTAAAAAATAGGGCACATTTCTGATTTACATATTCACCTCACTAAGAAATAAGGTGGTAAAACAGATTTATAAAAATAAAGCTGATAATTATTTTTGATTGATAAATAGTGCAAATAAAAATGGAAAGATTATATGGGAAAATCTAAACAAATTGTTTGGCCAGGTTAATAATATAAAGTCCAATAATATGCAACTTCAAGTGAATGACGGGTTAACTGTTAATTTGGCGGCTGTTACCAGGACCTTTAATAAATATTTGTCTGTTCAGATGATGAACTAACAGTTGATTTCAAACAGCCAGCTTTTTTTTTAAACCCATTGATGAAAGCAAACCTGTCTTTCACATGATCTACTACTACTGAGGTTATTATTTATTTGTTAAAGACTTCCCAAGTTAAAGATGTGTTTGGTCTCAACAATATATGTTTTTATTTAATTAAGAGACCTTTGGAATAGCAATTACCTGATTGTTAAACTTATTTAAGAAACTGTCCATTGTACCAACAGTCTGGAAGACAACTACAATTACCCCCATTTTTAAGCTGGTGATAAAACCAAACTAGAAAACTACCAACTTATTAGTATTTTACCTCTAGTTTCAAATATTGCTGAGAAATGGGTCTCCATGCCATCAATTAAACATCTTAATGTATGTGTTATACCTCTCCATCCAACGAAGTTTGGTTTTTGCAAACATTCAACTGAAACAGATACCTGTTTTTTTAACTGGACAAACAATGTTGTGTTGAAGCTATTTTGTTAGATCTAAAGTGTGCTTTTGACCCAACCAATCATGATGTACGGTTATCAAATCTCTTTTGTTTGATTTCTTATACAAGGCCCTCTCCTGGATGAAATCATATTTTTCTAATAAAGGACAGGCAGTATAGATTGGTGATTCAATCTCACCATATCTCAAATGCTTTGCTAGGGTCCCCTAAGGTTCTATATTAGGACCTAATGATAATGTTCTACAAACAAAGAGAGTGTGATAGTAAAATAGAATGAGTACTTTGAGGAGCTAATGAATGAAAAGAATTAAAGGGAAAGCAGAATAGAGGTCAAGCAAATTGGACCAGGAGGTGGAAAAAATTAGTGAGGATAAGTATGGAAATCATTAAAAAAAATAAAGAAGGCAGTTGAACCTGATGACAAACCAAAAGAAATATGGAGAGATGGCAGGGTGATTTTTGGCATGATAGTTCAATGGCTTAATTGAATAAGTGGGTAAGAAAATGACAGAAATAAAGATGTGTGCTGACGTCAAATTTTAAGAACAAGTTTCCTATAGTTGTATCAACTACAGGGGAATTAAGTTGAAGAGACACATAATGAAGATCTGAGAGAAAGTTGTGGAAGCTAAACGTAGACGAGGGGTGACAATTTGTGAGCAGCAACATGGTTTCATGCCAAGAAAGAACACCACAGATGACATATTTGCTTTAAAGATGCTGATGGAGAAGTACAGAGAGGGTCAGAAAGAACTTCATTGTGTCTGTGGATTCAGAAAAAGCATATGACAGGATGCCGAGGGGGGAGGTGTCATATTGCATGAGTAAATATGGAATAGCAGAGAAGTATG